ATACAAGAAAAAAAAAACAAGTCTAAAAAGCACACATTCCACAGAGCACCAATATTATAACACATTTTTGCTGGTTCTCCTATGAAGTATATTTCTGACATCTAAACAATGATGCACACACAAACACATCTCTACCCACAGTACTCAAATGAATGGACATCAAGCAGACCCTCCAAACAGAGATAACAAAACGCAGAAAGAAATGCCAGTGTGATGGCATCTGAACGCCAACGGAATTAGTTACTCTTTTGTTAGCGGTCTTCATGAGCACACTAGCACCACTGCCTTGCCCTCATCCCCCATCTGTACAGCCCAGAATTCAGGCCTGTAGTTTGCTGCATATGGGTCATGCATTGATATGGTGTAGAGTCGAACAAAACTGGCCATTATTCCCTACCTGATACCTCTTTTATCGCTTTGGTTATAGTACTGAATGTATGTTAAAAATCTTAATCCTACACCCAACAACATATGAAGGTCTCACACACATCACTGAGACATTTTTAAGAAGCTTCGTGGATTTCTCCATCTAGACAACCTTCAGAAGAATAATCGCCTTTAGCTTTTTGAAGTCCTTAGCGCAGTTGTTCAGTGACATACATTTTGCCATGCATTTTTTCATTTTTAAATGTGCCGGGCCTGATTCTCCACTGCCTTTCACCTTGTGTCATCATTTACACAAGTGCAAAGGATGAGCAAAAAGCTATCATTCTGGTGGTGTCACTTACACTTATTTTGCACAGGGCTAAATAATGATATAAGGCAAACGTCTGTGGAGAATCAGGTCCAAAGTGACTTTGCAGGCATGCTAGGATATTTTAAAAAACAGTTACCAATCTCCAGCTACTGCCAAGGGACAGGACTGCATTCCCTATTCTGTGCAGTGACTTTCTGGAATATTTTCAGGCATTAGCCTCTTCTGTGAATTCTATTCAACTTCAGAATGTAAGATTTGCCGTACTGGAATAAACAATAGTTATTCTGGTCCAGCAGATGCCTTGTGTAAAGGTACAGACAAAGGGAAACCCAACCTCACAATGCACCTGGCCAATTATGCCATGTTAGTAGCAAAATTCCTTCTTGACTCTACCTAGCAATCAGTTTACATACTGAAGCCTGATGATTGATAGTCTTTTAATTTTTTTTAATCCTGCTAACATAACTGCAGAAGTTAATCTTACCCATATGTGTCTATTTGTATCATTAATGGTGACATTATTTCATTAATTTTTAAACCTTTTCTAAAAGTTGTATCCTTTTACACCATCAAAAAATTAAAGGAATTGTATTTAATGTTTCTATTAATCACTTATAAAAGAGAAAACATCTTTTTCTCTAAGCTCATTTCTTTTCTATTGAAAATATTCCCCTCTGCTTTTTGGCCATATGTTTTCTGGAGGGATCAAAAGGATTTACAAAATGTATCCCTGTCATGATAACCACAGAGGTTGCCAGCATCTTTGCATTTTGGCCAGGGTCAGGAATTTATGTTGCCAAGAAAGAAAGTTCTGATCCTTGAGGATTGGCTATTTACAGAAGCCAGTTTTATAATTCCCTTGCTGTGCAATGAAAACCCATCTATGAATAACAAGACACCCACACATGAGAGAGGGACAAAATAGTAGAAATCCAAAAAGGAGAAAAAAGCTATGCAAAATAACTGTGACTTTAGCTATGCAAAGGAGTATTAGAGTTACTAATTCAGACTCCTTCTTGTGATCTTAAGATATGTTTCAACAGTCATATTAGACACTTGGGTTGGCATTTCGCAAACAAACAACTTAGACAATGCTAAAAGCCCCAGATTGAAGAAAGAAAGAAAGAAAGAAAGAAAGAAAGAAAGAAAGGTAGGTTTAAGCTTTACAAGGCACATCGGGTTATAGCCTGAAGCAGTTATGGAATGATAAAGTTTAGGATGTCTGAAGAATGGAATAGAAAATAACATTGAAAATATTTACATTATTATATACACCCACTGAATGTTTTCATCTGGAATACTGTTTTCAGCTCTGGTCACCCTACCTGAAAAAGGTAGTTAAGCAAAAAGAGAAGGAGTCCAGAAATGGGAGGAAATGATAAGAGATATGGACCCATATGAGGGATTGAAAGATTAGGATTGTTTTGTTTAGAAAGGACACAAATAAGACTTGCATCAAAAGTATACAAAATAATGAATGACACACAGAAGGAGAATTGGGTGCCCCTATTTACTCTGTCTTATAATACAAGACCAAGGAGAAATTCAATTAATTTGAAAGGCAACAAATTTGATAAAAGGAATTTTTTTTTTAAACACAGGATGTGTTTTGATCATCAGATTCACTGCCACGAGACATAACTGAGCTCAAGTTCTTCACAGAATTCCAAAAAAGGACCAGGCATTTATATGGATAATGAAGACATCTGTAGTCACACTAGAAAGGATAAAACTTATAAGGGCACAAGCCAGTCATTAACTGTCTGTGGTTCAGAACAAGTAACTCCTGTGGACAGTTTACTTCTGAATGGTCCAGTATAGGGATTCTTGCACCTTCTTTTAAAGCATCTGACACTATCAGAGATAGGATACTGCACTAGATGAACTAGTGATCTGATCCAGTAGGCAATTCCTGTTTCTGTGTTCATAGGTTTAAGGTAGCTCTCCCACACAGTCATAAAAATGTGTAACAATCTACCATAGTAATTGGTAGGTCATGATCACTTCACTGAATGGTCTGAGAAGTCAGGCTTATATACCAGAAGGCAGACATTGGAGTAGATGGATATTCAGCCTAAATTTTCCATTGTTCAATTTTTTCTTCTTACCTCTTACTATATACCCTTGGCCCACCCTAAAGAAGACAACAGTGTATGTCATCTTCCCTTTTTTACCCCTCATCACAAATTACTTAGCGCAAGTATGAAATCCTGAAATACAGGAGTACCACGCTCTTCCGTCCACCCAGCTGAACTTGGCTCTCTGAACTCCATTCCCCACCAGATTCTCTGGGATGCTTTACCAGGGTTTGTTTATGCATCCAGGGGGGAGGCATTAACCTGGATGCATAAGAAATCACACTCACATTGCTGTCAAAATGTCATATCTGTGCTTAAAAGAGCCATATTTTTTAAAAATGCCATGTGCATTAGCTGAATTGACTCACACCAAAACAAAAGGAAATATGCCAAGTGTGATTAAAGGGACACTGTAAAATAGAAATATTTCTTTTTTTTTCAGTTCTTCCCTGTGTTTGTACTAACATCTCAGGTGATTAGCAGGGTAAGAGATTTAACACTTTCCTTTATTTTTCCCCACTTTATGCTGTTTGCTTGTTTTGCATTTCTCTCAGCTTGGACTGTGAAACTAGGCTGGTCTGGTTCACTCTTGTAATTAGTCAGTTTCACTTCCCAGTTCTCATGCTCTAGCACAATGGAAGCATGTCCATTTGTGTTAGGTTTTGTAAAATCCTTTAATTTTTTACAAAACCTAAACATATTTAAGGCCTAGACCAAGTTGACAGTGTCTCTTTAAATATACTTCAGAATATTCCCCTCAGCCATTTTTGAAAAACCCAGCCATTTGTTACAATTGTTCTTGATAATTCACTCAGTTCATCCTTAACCTCTTCAGAGAAATAAAGTGGTGACTGTGAGGCCAGTGTGATGGGTTTTTTTTCCCCAAAGGCTTCTGAGAAGAAGAATGAAACATGAACCAAATGCTATCCTGCCCAACAGAATTGCAGTTGCTGAGGCTAAAGACTGTTTAACTTTCCAATGAACTAATATGGCTGTAAACTAATTGCAGGCATCTAGGATAGCAAAAATCAACATGACTACTTTAACAGGGTAATCAACTGGACAGGTTTCAATTCCAATGAGGTAAAGTGGTGTGTAAGTCCCGCCCTCGCTCAAAAATATGCCTGCTAGGTCAAAAGAAATAAATTACTTTTACAAAACTAAACACAAAATAACCCCTAATTCTCTCTCTCTCTCTCTCTGCTGTTTCTCTTTAAGAAAAAAAAGAAAAAAGCAGCGATGAATACATCTTTTCAGTCCCACATATTGAAGGCTGGCATCAGCTGAACTCTTCTCTCTTGCCCTGTGTGTGTATATCTGTGTGTGTTGGTGACAAATAATCCCACTTTCTGAATTTTCAAAGTGAAAAGTTATAGTTTTATTACACAATCTCTGTTTCTTTCTCCCTCATTCCTTTGATCTTAGGATCTTGCAGACTCTTTCGTCTGTATCCTTCTCCCTCCCCCGCCCACCCATCACCGCTTTTCTTCACTCTCTCTTTCTCTGGCTCACAGTGGTGACCAAGGTGTAGCCTGAGAGCCAAATGCAGCCTATGGAGTTCTATGGTGTGGCCTGCTGCCAATTTAATTGTTAACATACAGAGGCCTAAGAGTGTGTGTGTGTGTGTTTGTGTGTGTGTATGTGTGCGTACTGTACACACACACACACACAATGCAGAGAGGCTGCCTGTAGAGAGTACCAAAATCCACATACAATGTTTCATCTTGAACTGAGCAGCCAGTTTGCACTGCATGGTGGATCTTGTAGTCTCTGCTGGGTCATACATCTCTATCAAAACAGGAAGGCAGTCATAATCCACTCCATTTTATGCAAATTAATTGAAGGTCCCAGGTTGCTGGCAAGTTGCCTACACAGGCCTCAATGGAAAAGTGAGATGTCCCTGATCAAATACATGAGGTTGCCTCTCCGCAGAATCGCCTTCCAGGAAGCAATGCTTTCTTCTGAACCTAAAGTGAACATGTTGTTAAAAGGATGGGCGAGAAATCTCATCCCACCACCTTTCATGCGCAGCAGCAGCACTTTTCACAGTGGCCTTTTCTGCCCTGTTAAGAAGGCAGGAGTAGGATTGTCTCACACAATTCTCTTTTTATGTGCTGGGTTTTTTTTGTTTTTTTTCCTGGCTTGCATTCATTTGACCTTATTATTGAACCTGTTCTCCTGCAACAGGCCCCAAAAGACCTATTGTAAAACAGTGTGTTTTTTTCCCTTTTTTATCACTTTAAAGGGACAAGGCTCTTGACACACTTTGTTCATCTTAGGCTGGATTTCATCTCTTGCTGAAGTTTTGCTCCAGCCAAAGCCGGACTTCCTGGAGGTTGTAGAAAAAGGGGCCCTTGCCCCCCAGGTAGGCAATTTTCTGTCTCTGCACGATGCACACTCGTTCGAAGGAGACCCCATAGGCCACGTTGGCATTATTGTCCATGCAGTCAGCTACCACTTGGCACTGGGATGGCAAGGAAAATCGCTCCAGGAGCTGGTGAGCAGCAGCACATCGGTCTTCCTGGTTCCTGTGCTTCCTCACCTCAAATGAGGAGGGAGAGATCCCAGGGGCAGCCCAGCCATCCGATGGGTGAGCCTCATCGATGTAGACCAACAGGAAATCGGCAACACCTGAGAACTCCTCCACCAGCTTGCCGAAGGCCGACAGCTGGCTCGTGAATGGGGGTCAGGTGGCTGAACCAAAGTTAACCACCAGCGGGCGCTCTGAATTGGCAAAGTCCAGGAGGTGGCACTTGGTTCCATATTTTCCGCCAACACTTTTCCTTCTGCTACTGCTGCTGCTGCTGCCATTAGCTATGTGGATCACATTGGAGTTTGGGGCTTCTCCTCCCAATTTCACCTGATGTCAAAACAAATAAAGACATGATGAGTTACTGTGACTTGTTTCCACAGTGTCCTTCATGTTCACTCTCACTAAACAAACACAGTCAGCTGTTCAAACAACACAGTGTGCTCCCTACACAGAAAATGCTGCAAGGATCCTGGTTTTAAGCAAATGATCTATATAAAACCAGTGTCTTCTCCCATTGTTGTGTTTCTCCTGCAGCAGCAGGAGGAGAGAAGAGTGTGGCTAGTGTCTGAAGCAGGTGGTTGGTAGTTAGGTGTTCATGGCCTTATCCCTAGATCTGACTCTGACTCACTGTGCGATTGTGGGAAAGTCCTTGCACCCATCAGTGCCTCAGTTTCCCCATCTATACAATGGAGATAATATGTATGCATCACACAAGGGTATTGTGAAGATTGACTAAAGTCTACAAGGTGCTCTGAAAAATGATATGGAATTACAAAGTACTACTATAAAAGACAATTAATAAGTCCAGTCACTGCAACTCCTGCACATCTCTCCTTAGCATCAAGCTCTATAACAACAATGTAATTGTTTTTTTATTTCCCTGATAATTTCTCTCTCTTCTCATCTCCTGCCTATCTCATGATGTTCAGAAAAATACTGTTTTGATTGAATTCATAGAGAGGCAAATCCTGAGGTTCAAATCCAGACTGTATTCAGTAACTACACTCCTACTGAAGCTAGCAGGAGTTTCAATTGAGTAAGAACTCAGTAAGGACTTCTGAATTTGGCCCACAGAAGTCATCTCAGATTTCATCACCAAGCGTTGCCTCCTGAAAAGCCAGAACCAGTAAGAACCAGAGTTGAGAGCGGAATGCTCAGCTGATGGGGGAAAAAAAATCTCCGTTATAGCTAAAATCCAGCAATGAGCACAGTGTAGGTACAGGGACTTCCATCTCTTCACCTGAAACCTAACTGTCCCTGGTGAATATATGATCCTTTATGGTTCAGTTCCACTTTTTCAAAGGGTAATTGACACTGAACCTGTTCTTCCTTTCCCCTGACTCTCTCTTCAAGCCAACAGATTTTATGGGAATTTTTACTGTTGTATTTAATGCTTCAGGAACATATAGCTAATTAAAGAATTTCCCAACATGCCTGTGAGGTAGATAGGCCTCATTTTGCCCAAGTTTTTCCAGTTTTACTTTGGAAAAATATTATGAATGAAATTTTTTTGACCAGCTTTATACTCATCAATAAATTTGAGGAAAACCACAATCTGCTTATGAATATTATGTGGGCAGAAAAAGAGGCTATATTCACTGAGTAAATTCCTCTTTCCCAACTCTGCATTAGGCTCTACCAAATGCCACTTTCGCTGTTTAAATTCCTAAACCCTGGAGGGAAAAATCAAAATTGTTTCAATTGGACATTAGTATAATAGTGCCCTTCAAGTATTACTTCACAATGATGCCAAGGGTGTTAGCATGTGTGACTGTGCTCCAACAATGCAAGGGTGTTCTCTGTGCCTCCCATAGGCAGAGTATTCCTTGCAAACCAAAAAGATGAGGTTTGGAGACAAAATAAAAACTAGTTCCATGACACCCTGTAGACTAAAACGCAGCCAAGATATCCCCCGGTGTGGCTAACCTCATTTTATTTCCCACAGACACAAGAAAGTCTCACGGCCATGGGGTACCTATCATGTTAATTTTTGCTTCGAGGAGAGTTGTGTTTGCCGCTTTGTCTTTAATGAGACATCCTTGCCAAGCAGGCATTCACAAGGCATTTTCTGCTCCTGCAGAGGAGTAATTAGGTCGTTGCCTCGTTCCATGCCAATGTTAGCCACTCCAAAAACCCAACCCTGCCCAGTCATTAATGCTTAAACACAAGCAGCAACATCTCCGCTAATTGGTCTTGATGAAGTTCTGACGTTCCCAAAGGGCCTCTTCATTTCACCAGACTCAGGAACGGGATTGACACAGGATGACAATATCATCCTCACTGATCATCTGCATTGTGGGGCTTTTCTGTTCTCTTTGTTGTCATTATTTATTACAGAAAGGAAAAAAATAGCTATTGGAAAAAAATTGACGCAATGAAAATGCCTACCAAAAAAGCCACATAATAGCCCAACTGCTTTTGAAATCTTGCACAAAAGCTGGCAAAAGATATGTTCTAAGAAACAAACCAGCAGAACTTCTCTCACATGCAATAACTCTGGCTCCAGCATTTATATAATCACGCACTTCTGTGCCGACTGTTTAGTCACTCAATGCTGGCCTTATGGATCCCAAGCTGCGGTGGATGATCCTGCTTTCAGAGGACAGCAAGCTAGCCCATGAACTGTGAGGCCCCCTTGTCTCACCATCTCCACAAGCAAAGGGATCTCCCCACCTCAAAGCAATAACTTGCACTGTTTGTGCTTAAGGCCAATCCTGCATTTGACGGCTCTGATACTGGGCATCTCGTTCTGGAGCGTTGTGCACAATGGAAAGGGGGAGCAACGCTAATGCTGCTTTAGCATGTCGACTGCAAAATGAAGGGGAAGGGGAGGAAAAGAAAGACCTATTCATAAACCACACGCTGGAAACAGAACATACTACTAACTTTGTTGAACATTTTCCACATGGCCTGGGAAAAGCCCCGTGGACAAAACATCATCTCCTGATTTGCTTTCTTTTTGCTTTGCTTTTTATCAGATCTAACATATCCCTCTTGGGATCCTGAGCATTGAAAAATTGCTTTCATGCCCCACATCTGGGATTTTTGAACCATTGGGCAGGTTCATCAAGCTACATCAACTCCCTAAAGAAAATAGGTGTTGCCAGATAATTAGCAGGCTATGGTATTAGCCATTTAAACATGGCCATGCCGTGTTAGGGATTGGAGCCCAGCTACTGGCTATGGACAGAACCCCCTGAGCTCTTAACTCCCTTTCAAGTTCTTCTCTTTGCTTTGATTCTATTCAGTAAAATGCAGCCCCAGAAGAGCCTGTCATTTCTCAGAGCCTCATCCAGATGTTAGTCAGGCTCTGGCAGCAGGGTTATTCAAAGTATTAGTAGTATTTGCTTTTTTACAAGACCCAAAGTTGTGTAGGAATCCCTCAGTGCATATAAATCACCTAAGGTCCCTGCCTGGAAGAGTATACATTAATGTGTACTGTTCATTCACCACAGGGAAGAGGGCATTTGCTTTTAGAACAGAGTGTACAACACGGGGAGAACAGGGGACGCTGGATTTCATTGGTGCTCTTGCTCTTTATTTAGTTTCAGGTCTGTGAGGCTGGGGGAGAAGAAGAATTAAAATGACACAGTCCTAATAAAAATCATTGGCCAAACCCTGCCCTCCTTACTCACTTAGGGACAAACTCTGCCTGGCCCATATATGAGAATGCACTGCGGGAGGGTCGCATAAGGAGTCCTTGCTTCCCACATAAGGACCTGGCAGAATTCCATATCTACTCCCTCTATACTCCCCTAGGAGTAAACCATGGGGAGGCAGGGCCATGGGTGTAGTGGCCTTGTGAGTCAAACATGGCTCTGTACCACCCCTAATTATGGGCTATACCTACAAGATGTGACTGATGTCTTTATTATTAATATTATTTGTTAACAATATTGCCAGGGGCATTGGAGGAAGAGTTGACAGCCCTACTTCCTGGTTCAGGAGTTCAAGTCCAAGCCCTGTAGAGTTTGGGTTCCCAATACCGAGGGGAAGGTTTAGTTATTATTATTAGTAGTAGTTTTAAGTTTATTTTATTATCATTTGTACTTGAAAATTTCAATGAAAATAATTTTACTAATGTTACATTTTGTAAAATCAGTGCTATTAATACAGGTTTGGGGGGACAAATATTTGTAAACACTAGACAATGCTTACATTTTGGACCTAAAACTATTTGACAATTCATTTTTAGCAGAGGGCTTATTTCATAAGTTCCTCTTATTGCCATGAAATTCAAAGAAAGACACTTCCTTGCCCTCCAGGTCAAAATTAACAAAGGTGATGAGTGCATAAGGGTTCGAGCTAAGAGGTCTTTGCTCTACTGTCTGAAAAGCCTCCCAAAGTAGCATTGTAACCCAGTGGTATGCTGAAAAGCTGATCAATAGGAAATGAGGCACTTGCTCTTTATACTACCTTTGCAAATATTGCTCTACAATGTTGCAGAACACCCTTGAGCAATCCGTGTTGTCAGAAGCTGTGATGCCCTTCCCGATGTTGAGTTGCATGCTGGTGCTTCTAGGAATGAGTACACCTATTATATGGGAAGAGGGCCATGTGTTTGATGGTATGTCTGGTGATTTAACTGAGCCTCCATCAGAGCTCATAGCACTGGTTTAATCTACTATTAAATCCAGAGATGGGCCCATCCCCTGAAGATTGGATCCAGATCCAAACTTTCTCTAAATTCTGGAGTCTTCATGTGAGAGTTTGCTTTTGGTTCAACCCTTTTTAGAGACAGGAAGGATCTGCACACACACGTACACATAAACTTAGCTATGAATCCATCAATCAAACTATTTATACAGTATCATTCTGATCACTGTAGTATTGGAGAGAGAGAGAGAGTGTCTTTTGACATTCCAAATAATATAGCTGCTTCAACCAAATTCCATTTAAAACACAATCCAAATATAGAATTACCCCTCAAAATTACACTGGCATTGAGGTGCAGAATGGGCAATATTCAATCTTGGACAAGTGACAGGTTTAAGATCCTACTTCCTGCTACCCTTTAAGGACTAGAAATGAAAGCTATAAATCACTGGACAGAGAGCTTCATAGCTTTCCAATGGGATACCCATTCCTAACTTTGCAATGGAATTTTTCCATTGTCTTCTTGTTATAAACTACTATTGCATGCAGCAGCAGAAACTGGATGCAGCCTTTTGGTTAGGACATTATCACCTGGGAGGATCTAGTAGCAAAAACAAAAGACTTTAACATCCTCAGTGGGCAAACAATAGATACTTTGATTTACTTGTTTAGCAAATGTACAGCATTCTCTTACACTGGAACATTTTACATAAGCTATTTTCCTCCTCCCT